TAAATACCAAAGTTATTTAAAATGGTGGCTTAAAATCACAATTTGAAGCCACCGTTTTAAAAAAACAAATAACATATATTATATGTTATGCGTTTTGATTCCAGTAACATATGTTTCTAAAATAAAACAAAAAGTTTTTATGTAAATATATATATATATATATATATATATATATATATATATATATATATATATATATATATATATATATATATATATATATATATATATATATATATATATATACATAACAAAGACCCAAGTTATACATTCAGAGAGTCTAATTCAAATAGTTTAATAAAATTTTTTAAAAGTTAAACACATCAAATTTGTAAATAATTTATGATTGATATAGTTCTTTGAAGCTTCATACCATCAACCATTTATCTACACTGAAAATTGTTTTTGATTTCACTGCATTTTTCATAGAGACTCTTAGTTTTTTGATTGTGAAATTCACCGTTTTGAATTTGTCATGTATATTAACTCTTCTTTTCTGATCTATATTCAGTGTAATTATTTTTGAAGTTTCAGTGAGTATTTCCTTCTCTGTCATTTTGTTTAGTTTGTTTAAACTTTTAACTGTAAGATTTCCATTATACCCTGCAAATTTACAATCACTTAGCTAATTTGATTATTAAACTACCAATAGTTTTTAAAACAAAAACTATTGGTAGTTTAGTAGTTTTAGTTAATATTTTTGTTTAAAAAACTCTCTGACTCCAATTGCAGTAGTATGCCAATTTTGGAGCTTTGTTGTCGATACTTAGTAACGCAATCAATGGAAAAATTATCATTTTGCCCATCGCTTTTTTAATTTTAATACAGTACCTAAGCCGCTCATTGTTTACGATGTATGCTGAAGCCAGTACCAGCAATTACTAGTTTGTTACCTTTGATATCAACAGTGTTAGAGAAATTCATTATGGACTTTTTTCTGGCCAAAAACCTTGATATTTTTTGCATCTATTAACTAGATTCATGATAAAGAGTAATGAAATTTGCAGTATGGCTTGTCAACAAGTTAGCGAAAGCTATAAGCCCAAGGATGTAAATACGTGAGCCAGACTTTCAGGCACTTTCTCACTGGCAGAAATTGTTATTTACTTCTGCACACTGATCTTCTGTTCTGTATTTTATCTTTTCTGTGTTCATTTGTTCACATGCTTGATCAATGACCAGAATTTGTTGTGAAATTGTTGTGAACTCTTTAGAATCTCATTTTAATCTCCATAGCACATCATTCCACACCAGCACAGGGCAGTAGCTCTTTTGGCTAAGAGTGATGGCTTGTGGCCTACGGTGACTAATGTGTGCGTTTGATAAATTTCTTCAACTTACTTAAGCTCTCATCTACATTGAGATGATGCAGCATAATTAAGCAGTAATTGGCTCCATTGGTAATCCAGAAGTTTATATATTCTTTTATTCTTATACAGTGGAATTACAGAGAGGCGCTAATTACACTCCAATGTATGGCTATGTATGCCTTCACAGAGTTTTTTTGTCCAAATGTTGTCTTGCTGATTTGCTAATGCCTTACCGACTAATTTAAGGTTCAGGTATGATACGTCTTCAAGATGAGTGGTGATGAAAGTACTAATATGTTTTCTACTAAGAAAAATATCTGTATGATATCTGAGCAGGGTTAGCATTAAAAAACCCGCCCAAAAAAACCTGCCCATTAAAACCCGCCTAAATAAAACTTTTTTAAAGATATTTATTAATTTTATGTAATAAAATAAATATTATAACCAGCTGTTTTGACTAGACAGTCCACTAGCCCATAGAAAATGGGGCACACAGCACTTGAGATATCCAAAATCCCTCCAGTGGTTCAAAAGTTATGGCCATTTTCAATCTAACCTCGAGTGTAGGCCTTTAAGAATAACTTTAATTCCGCAGTTAGAAAGAAATAATTTATTAATCTCAAAAACTTTATATAAAGAAACTAATAACAGAGTGAATATAGGATAGTTGGAGATTAATCGTAGGATAGTTGCAGAGGTCAAAGTGTTTTTCTAGAGTTTTAAAAAAATGGAACCACTTATTTAGCACTTTTTAAAAGTTTAGTAAAAATTTAAAAGAATTTTGGAGAACACTTTTTAAGACTATGATGAAAAAATGGAGCACAAACTGTAGAGGTGTTCAATTGAGAATTAACTTTAGCATTAGATGCCATATTGATTTTAATATTTAACAATGGGTTAATCTGTTTAACTGGCAGGAAGAGTGTGACCATTAGATTCAAAAGTTTAATAGTATTCTAGGAAGAAGTAAAAATTATTCTGAGTATTCTGGGAAGAAGTAAAAAGTTAGACCCATAAATTAGAGACTAAATGTTGAAGTTAATAAATTAGAGACTAATGAAGTTGAAGACTTACCAAAAGTCTCTCGATCTTAACATCTGAGATAAGAAACAAGACTTAAAAAAAACTTATAATAACAGAGCTTAACATCAGACAGGACCTTTTTACATTCTTGGAATAGTGAAAGGTGTTTATAAGAGAGATGTTCTTGTAAAAAAATTAATACTGTTTAATTTTAAAAACAACTGCTCAAGATAGTAAAAAATGTGGAGTAGAATGAGTCTCGACTTAATATTGTGACTCTAACACAACAAGAAAAGGAGGCATAATCTTAGATTAGAAAAAAAGAGTCTTATCCGACAACGTTTGTTAGAGAAGATTAAAGTGATTTAGGTATAAGCATTTAGAGAGGTAGAAGCTTCAGAAGAAAATGGTAGTGGTAGAAGTAAGAAAACTTTAAGAGAGAGTGTCATATATTGTATGAATGAGGTTTAGTTAAAGAAAGAAAATGCTTTAGATTGTTTATATTAGCATAAAAGAGGAAAGCTAAAGCCTGATGATGCTGATGGTGATGATGATGATAATGATGATTATTACAATGATAATGATGATGATGATGATAATCATGATCATGATCATGATGGTAATGATGATTATGATGATCATGTTGATCATAATGATGTTTATATATGCATTCTTGTATACAAAATATAACATGAATTTTGAATTAAAAAAAAAAACTTTAGGATGTATAATTGTTTATGCAACCCTGGTCACAAACCTAGTCCCAGCCCTGGCCCTGGCTATATTTTATTGAACCCAGCCCCGGCCTCAGTCAAATATCAACTCCAGTCATTTACTAATTCTTACTAACAATAACAGCTCTCATTTTTCGGGTTAGGGTTAGTGTTAGGTTTATGGTTAGGGTCAGGGTTAGGGTTTCTCAATTTTTATTCAAATAATTTTATATATTGAGATTTTTTTATCTTTTATGTTATTCATCTCCCAAGATGAATTTAAACGAGTAGTAGTGGCTTGATAAGGTTGTTGCATGGAAAAACAAGTTTGTTCCTTTGAATTTCAAGTTCAAATTTGAAGTTCGATTCAAACTTCAGTTACCTTTTCCCGTTCTCCAGCCTTCTTTCTCCCATATCTTATTGACATTTTTAATTAAATAAAGTAATACTTTTAAATCTAAAATAAATCAATACATATAGATTTAACATGAATTTTTTTTTCTATTACAGTTTTAAAATATATTTAAAAATCTTTTTTCAAATTAGCTTGAAAAATTTTTTTATACCTTTTTAAATAACATTATATGAAATATATTTTAAATAAAGTTAAATTAGAAGATTAAATTAACTTTCAATATCATTAAAAAAAATGTTTTTTTACAGATACGAAATAAAAATAAAACCCAAAAAAACCCAAATTTAACCAATAAAACCCAAAATTACCCAAAAAGACCCACTGGGCTGAATTTTTTTTAGAAAAACTGGGTTTTTGCTGACCCTGTCTATGAGATATATCTATCTTTGAAGTCAAAATTACTGGAAACTGATGTACTTCACACCTTTCCAAAAGTTGAAGCTGTCTATGATACCCGCTAAAGCATTTTAAATGAACCTAATTACCTTTTCGTTAATTGATTTGAGTTAGTTTGAATATGTACAACTGGCAATTCCAGTTTTTCTGGAGACAATTCAACAATATTAAATAAATTCCTCTGTTGAGTAATGGGTATCCTAAAGTTTGATGTAGACTGTTGTGGTAAGAACTTTATCGTAAACTTTTTTCTTTGGGATCATCTTTTTCTGCAATGTCATTGTTAGACAGCATCTTAGCTGCTTCTTTTTTACAAACACGCCTGTTGCTGATTGATTCTGATTATATTTTCTCATAATACAGAAGGTACTTTTTGACCCTACTACCACTCTGTAACCATTTCTTACTCACAGTAATGGAACATGTGTCTTTATATTTTCCATGTCTTCCAAAATCATTTTTACACCAAATGTTGTTCTAGTTTTTGCTGGTATAGGGCACTTTTTATGCAAGTTTTGTATGCATTAGTCACCATTCTGTTGTTAATGTTTGTTGTTCATTTAACCCCTTTGCCTTCTTTACACATCCAGTAAAATATTTCATAACCTTTTAATACCTTTTTCAAGATGGCTATTTCATTTGTCGGAAGCACATTTTTGTTGATCCACTTATTGTATAGGTCTTTTGCAACAGCAAGACTGCAGTCATTTTGTGAATTCGTTTGTTGTCTTCAAGAAATTTTACAAAAATTTAATATTCTTCTGATGGCAATTGTATTTTTGTGTGTGTTATTTGCCTTATCAAGGCTAAGGCAGCCACTACAGTTAAGGGTATAAGCTATTTATATACATTTCACAATAACTAATCCCTAGCAACTTAAAACAAAAATTATGATCCCTAATGGTTGAGAAGTCATGATTCATTGCACGTACATAAAATTGTTGTTGCAACGTTAGCAATCAACCAAAACAATGAAAAAAAAGGCCTCTGGATTATTTTTTAACATTGTTTTGAGCATATGATTCAATAAGCGTACAATTTTTTCCAGATTTACCCAACCCTAATATTTGGTTAAGTAATTATTTTTTGCATTTTATAAACTATTTTATCATTTAAGGATTTTTTTTCATTTATTACTTTAAGGGATATTGAAGTTATCGACTTGCAAACAGATAAGTATTACTATTTTATTGCTAATCGTTGGATAGCTGTGGAATATGGCTCGTTAGATATTGTTTTGCCTTTATGTCATGATGAAAACTTAAGAAATTTCAGTTTTCTTTTTTTTTCAAAAACTCGAAAAGGGTTTACTGATGACCATTTATGGCTATCAATATTTACTCGTTTACCCATCAGTAGTTTTACAAGATGTCAAAGATTATCAGTTGCCATCAGTTTATTAATGACTTCAATGGCATCTAGTGCAATTTTTTTTGGTAGAGTTCCGCCCAGCAGTCCAGCAACTGAGAATAAAGTTGGAGCTTTTTCATTTACGTTAAAGCAGGTAGGTTAAATTAAAACAAGATTTAGGATTTATTAATTTTTGAACTGAAACAAAATTCTTTTCTTGCACTGTGTGTAACTTGTTTCTTGTGGATTTGTCCAGAATTATATTTTAGAATCAGAAATGTTGATAGAAGGTAACTATAGCATTTTAAAGGAATGAACTAATAACTTTGTTGGGTGTAGTGGCTCCACTGCTTTTGGAATGTAAATACCTAAAATAAATTAAAAGTAGAGTTAAGTTAAGAGTTAAGTATATATATATATATATATATATATATATATATATATATATATATATATATATATATATATATATATATATATATATATATATATATATATATATATATATATATATATATATAATATATATATATATATATATATATATATACATATATATACATATATATATATATATATATATATATATATATATATATATATATATATATATATATATATATATATATATATATATATAACAAACTTTTACCAAGTTTTATTCCTGGAATAAGCATTCTGGATCTGTAAAATACTGGTCTTGGTAAGTCTGTTCTACTGGCCTTGCTATTAAGTATTAAGTCTATTCTACACTGACCATTTCTATACTTATAAATTTTCTCAATATTTTTTAGTAGGTAGAAAAACTATACATATTGTCTACCTTTTAAAGTTAAAACTCTATTTCTTTTTGATTGTTATAGTATATTATATCTTTATATGTCAATAATAGAACTTTATATGTCAACGATAGAACTTTATATGTCAATGATAGAGCTTTAAATGTGAACAATAGAACTTTAAATGTCAACGATAGAACTTTAAATGTCAACGATAGAATTTTATATGTCCACAATAGAACTTTAAAAATATTTTAATTTGTATTTTAGAAAATTGGAAAAGATTTCAAAAAATTAATATGCAAGCGACAGGATCTGAAAACTCACTTTGTAATTTGGTAGTGTAGCAAGCTAACCACTTCGGCAACTAAGACACACTAAACTGCCAATTATTAACACTATTTAAAACAAAAAAATGAATCCAATAAATAACTTTATATAACTATAATTAAATGTTTTAAATCAAAATTAAGGAGATTTTGCTTCAATACAATTTTTAAATAAAAGTAAAACTTTATAAAAGTAAAAATATCGAATTTCAAAAATGTTTTTTTTTCAATTAAAAAAGATTTTTAAAAAAATGTGGAAGAGCAAGGTTTTGAACCACGGCATTTTACTTCAGAATGCTGCAACCTAACCACTTTAGTCACTGAGGTGTACAATGCTCGATGAAAAACCATTTAATAAACATAAGAATTTATAAAACTGCAAATAAATGCCATAAATCAAAATTAAGGAAATGTTGCCTAAAGTCAATTTTTAAGTAAAAGTAAAACTTGGTGTATTTTTTAAGATTACATAATTTGAAGTTTACACAAGTTTACACAATTCACTCATGAATAAGTAATGGCAGGATCAGCATTAAATTGAGTATTAAAATATTGTATGATTTCATTTCCAGTTACTTTTGGACCCTAAAAGTAACTGGTAATAAAAAAGAGCGTTCCATTCAGTACAAGGTTAGTTCATTTTTTGTGATCAACTCTAGTGAATGGACTATTGAACAATTTATTGTGGGTCAATATGTTCTGCTCAATATTTTATAGATTTCAAAGTTAATTACCTAAAATATCAATCTTTTCTTATTTTACCATAAAAAAATTGATATTTTTTTATGGTAATTCACCTCCCCAAGGTTGAAAAGGCCACCACAGACAAGGAGGCTACTTAATTGTGGTTACAACCCTCTCTCAACTCTATAACTCCAAAACACAAACCTTGACAAACAAGATTGCTGCGCTAAGAAACAAGTTGAGCGCATTACTACCAAGGGAGTGGTGGGTATCGAACTCAGAACCTCCCGGTGGGAAATTGGCTAGCAAATAGCTAGCTATAATCGTTACGATAAAGACAGCGATTTGGCCATGAGGATCGCTAGCTTTTTTAAGTTAGCAAAAAGCTATCGATATTTTTAAAGATAAAGACAGCGATTTGGCTACGAGGACAGCTAGCTTAACAAGCTGAAGATCCACTGGCTATTGTACCTAGCATCATATCATAATAAAATCGTTGTCTAAAAAATTTTGAAATGTAGCTATCAACCAGCTATAGATTTGTAAATATTTTGTAGCTAGCTACAAAGCTACAATATGTAGCTAGCGACACATTGCTACAAAATCGCAATGTTTAAAGTTCAATTGTTTTCATAGTTATAATCTCAACACTAAAAATCGAATTTTTAAAGATGTTAAAGACATTTGCAAAAAATAAAATAAAAAAAAAAAAATTGCTAGAAAATCGCTATAGAGCTAGCTAGTCGCTAACTCATTTCCCACCGGGCTCTCTCTTATGAAGCAAGCGTTCTACCCCTACACCACTATTGCATAACATCAATATTAATTATGTTTAAAAAAAGTTTAATTTTGTGATTCATTTAAAACATTTTTTTCTTATTTTGATGAGCAAATAAAATCTACCTCAATTAGGTGGTGTCACAATTCAATAGGTTGCGACACTACCTATTTTTTAAATCTTTTTGCAACAAAAGTTTCCAAGGTTTCTTAAAACTTTTTTTGATTTTTTTAATAAGTTTTGAATCCAGAAGTTTTTTACATGTTTTTTTTTTCTTATATTACAGAACGAGATGAACATGAAAAAAAAAATTTTTTAAGTATAGAAAAGTAAGAAAAGTTCTTCTATTTTAGGTTTATGTAGGAATGGTTTGTGCAGTTGTTACTGTTCCTGTTAACTTGTTGCTGACTCAATTATTTCGCTTGATTGAACCAGTTTATCAAAATGGTAATATTTCAAAAAGTCATGATCTTTTTATAGAAAATAAAGGTACGCATTTATTTATTTAAAATAAAATAAAGGTAAACATATATTTATTTATAAACTTTAACATTATAATATTATGAAAAAAGGTATGTATAAAGGTAACATTATAATATTATGAAAATGGTATATATTTTTTTACTTGAACATAATCACTATAAATTTAATCATATAAATCCATTTTGAAACCTTTTTTTTTTATGTCTGGTGTTATTTTGAGAAATGTAACTGCTATTATTTAAGAAACGCAACTGTTGGATGATTATTGAATGTATTTTTGTTTTTCTGTTAAACTTAAAGAAACATCAAAAATTTAAGTGTTTGTAATGACTCACTTATCACAAAATATTTCTAGCAAGACTTTGACTAATTTTTCTAATTATTCTAATTACTTTGACTAATTATTCTAATTATTCTAAAAATTACTTGACTAATTATAAGTGCATGTGTATTTTTCATTTAAATTTATATTTGACTAATTATTTGCCTAATTTTTTTTTTTAATTCACCTTCTCAAGGCCGAGAAGGCCACTACAATCAAGGAGGCTACTTATTTGTGGTTATAACCCTCTCTCAGCTCTATAACTTCGAAACACAAACCTTGACAAACAAGGCCGCTGAGCGGAGAAACGAGTTGAACAAAATATAAGTTAGGATCAGGAAACGAATTATAAGTTATGATCAGGATTATCACAATCATCTTGCTACTGGTAACCTTTAATCCACAACAACATGCTAAATGTCCTGCTGCCTTGTTAAACTTACTTTTTTTTATGAAAAAACTAAAAAAAGTAACTCTGACCTAAAAAAACCTCCTGGCTTAAGGACTCTTGGTTGAGTAAAGGCTAAAGAGAAAGAGTCCCAACAAAAATACTCATTTGGGCAAATTACCTTCATCCGCTTAGCATTTTTAAAGTATTTGTATATTTCATATTTTTATTTGATAAAACCTAATCAGTTTACATAGCAGTGGGGCCCCATTTTTTAATTTGCTTCATGGCACTTGGTTACCTAGCTACGCCACTGCTTCTAACATAGACTAGATTTTAAGTGTAAGCAGAACCTTCATAGATTAGGTGTATGCAGAATGCAGAACTGACTAGCTATAGTCCATCTAGCATAGATGTAAACCTGTATTTCCTGCTTAGAGTGATAAACCCTAGATCTTTTATTATTTTAAAGTTTATATTTGTGCTTCCCTAATAGTGGGTATGTAATGTTTTCTGTTGTCATTATTTTTTAATGAAATAATATATCATTAAACGAACTAAAAAATAAAAAAATAACTTAAATATATGCCAGATAGTGGTAAATAATGCTCGAAACACTCATTGACCTCTTTTAACAATTAAAAAAAAAAGTAGAAGGAAGTGTTTAAATGTAAAACATAGAAATAAATTAAATAATTGGAAACCAACATCAAGAGGGATACATGGAGTGGTAGTCTAACTTGAGAACTATTTAAGACCTACAAATAGATTTTCCACAAGCAATATTAACTCAAACTTATTTAGTTGTAGCTGACATTATCTTTCACCTACAGACAGCTCACTCCAAGTTGTCACTGAGAAACTCATAAGTTAAAGGAACAGTAATTTTCGTTTAACAAATAGATTAATTTTTTTTCTTTTTTTAGTAGTAATTCATTTTTTTTCAATTATGTGACCTAATTATTTAAATTTGTCAACAAAAAATAATTCAGAACCAGCTTAGTTAAATAGAGGAATGTCAATACAATTTTTACATTTGTGCTTTAAATATATGTATATTATATTATGCATAACAATGTATAACAAAATACTAAAAAGTGATGTTAAAAAAAATAATAAAAAATGATAATAGCAACAGTGTAATAAAAAATAATAGTAATAATGAAATGTAACAATAAAAATAAAAAGCAAATAAAAATAGTTGTAATAATTATAAGCAAGTGATTTGTCACTTGAACAAAAAAATGACCAATCAACAACAACAACAACAACAACAACAAAAGTACATTTTCACACAAAATTATTAAATTGGTTACGTAAAAGAAAGCAATATTTTACTGGATTGTTCACTCTCATATAAAGAAAGCAACATTTTACTGCTATCATATAACATTATACTGGATGGTTCACTCTCATATAAAATTTTACTGGATGGCTCATTCTCATACAACATGGCTAAAGCAAGAAGAGCAACCATAAATATGAAAAACTCATTAAGACAAAAATAAAATCTTATGTTTTCATTTCTTTTTTAAGAAAAAAATAAACAAATAAAACAAATAAAAAGGATAAAAAAATATATAAAAAAAGGATAAATAAAAATAAAATAAAATATAAAGAAAATACATTTCACTATGACAACTAATTAAATTTTTGGCTCATAAAACTGTTGATTTATTAAATAGTATTTAAGTTTCTTTTTTAAGTCTTGTTTTTTAAATCATAAAAAGAAACAGATATTCAACTTGGTTTTTAGATAATTCTAATCAATAATTGCGGAGTGCTTAAATTAAAATTTGCCATAAAATTTAGTTTTTAATGATGGAAAAATCAATTTCCATTTGAGTTCTTGTCAATTTTGTTTGAAACTTATTTATTAAGGAAAATCATTCATTAAAAATTGATGGAAGCTTATTGTTTAGAAAACTGTGTATAAACAGACTATTTTCAACTTTATTATGATCATAAAAATTTAAGATTTGAAAACTTAAACGAATTTTTCGTGTGTGAATAGGTAGAAAATTAGTAAGTCTTATAGCCCTTTTTTGAATAATTTTTTAAGTATTAATGATTTTTGACCCTGTTAAAAATATTATGTTTTTAACACTGATTATTGAGGGATTGTTTTGGTTCATTAAAGTCAGTGTATTTTGATTGGTTGTTTTGGTTCATTAAAGTCAGTGTATTTAGATTGATTGTTTTGAGATGATAATTTGGAGATACCCTTCCATATTGATTTCATATTTTAGATATTTTAAATAAAGTAGTTGATATAATTTATTTTTTTACTTTCCTTGAGTAATACATTTAGTGTATTATGATATAATATATAATGAACAGTTTTAGTCACAGGGTTCTTCGATTGAAAATATTTTTTTAAATTTTATTTTTAATTGTAATCATTCCTTTTATACAAACAACTTCCTTGAGAAAAAACTTTTTTTTTTATTAAAAAAAGAATTTCATTGATGTAAAGTGGTGTTTTGCGATGCATTCAGGCCTAATATTTGTTGATGTCTAATTTTTGTATTTTATTTTTTAAAAATCTCTTACATGTATACCTTTATACCTTTTAAAAATCTCTTACAGTGTTATTAACTTACTTGTTAAGCATTATAACAGAAAGGTTCCATCATGCAATGCTTTTACTCTTACCTCAACACTTCCATATATCTAAATATTTTATCAAACATTTTTTTAAAGTATGGCATGCTGATCTTCTTCATATGCTTTCTTTATATTATGTTTATGAGAACGCTTTTTAAATATTTAATCATTCTTTTTAAACCACAGTATTAAAAATGACTTTGGTAGGCAGTGCTAATCTTTTTTTTCAATAACTAAAATTTAATCTTTTATAAGTTGCATCTTTTTGTTGCTGCTTCTTGTTTTTGAACTGTTTCTTGCTTTTGATCATCTTGTGCTTTTTTTTTCTTGCGCATTATGTTTTAATTTTAACTAGTTTAGTGCTGCCTTCTTCTACGTATAATCAGGACATAATGGAACCCTAACATTAATTTTATAAAATTTCCTTTTTTCGTGTTTTTCTGAAAAATGCAAGTTATAGTTTTTTTAACCTTTTGTCGATTGTCTCGGTAGTTATATGAAAAATAATTCTTTAAGTGATTACAGAGCGTGCAGGCTTTATAGTATTTGAAAAAAATTTTATTTGAAACTTTGTAGTTAAGGAGTTTATTTTAGCAAAATCTTAAAATCTGAATATTTTTTTTGGCAACCTTCGTAAGCAAAAAACCTAGTTTTTAATGTTTTCTTTTAAACTCGCTTTATTACTTTCTGTTATTTCACAATTTTAATAGTTTTTTCTTGCAACATTTTTAATTTGCAATTTGCAATTTTAAATTTGTTAAAAAAAGAATTTATTGAAAGAGAAAAAAAACACAAGCCACTCATCTGTTGTACGTAGAATTTGTTCTTATAAACTTCATTGCAGGAGGTTTATCTATTTGTTCTCAAATAATATTTATATATATTGCAAAACATATAATTTTTTATATATTTAATATATAATATTTATAAATATTGCAAAAGGTCTATCTATTAGTTATAAGTTAATTTAAAAGTTGATAGGGATAGATATCAATTAAATTTATTGAAATATTCAATATAGGTGTTTGTTTTATTTATCTCCTAATTATGTTTACACAATTTTTTTCTAGAGTCAAACTTTAGCAGCATTGAAAAAGATTTGTATAAAAAGTCTGCAAAACCATTTTACCTCCCACATTACTTTCTATACATTTCTTGGATTCTTTGTGTTGGAACAATTTTTGGACTTGGTTGTGTTATATTATTGTATGGAATGTCTTTTGGGAATAAAAAGTCATTGGATTGGTTATCAAGTGTGACTCTTGGATTGGTTAGAAACTTTTTTAGTAGTTTTTAATTTAGTTTTTTATGTCTATTTTTTAAATAGTATTTATTTGTATTACTAAATTTAATCTTAAACTAGTAAATCGCTATAAAACTTTGTTTAGTTATTACAATAAAAATTTTAAAATCTTTTCTATGTGTTTCTGTTAACGTTATAATCTATTATATATTATTGCCGAACTTAATAGTGTTAGTAGTAGTAGTACGCTTTTAAGTCTATTTGACACGGTACCCTTGGCAGCCGTTGCAAGCAAGATAATGGCGAAAAAGAGTCGCAGCAATCGAACAAATGCGTATCCAAATATCTAACGTACGCCAACTTTATATTAAGAAATGTTAAAACATGTTAAAACATACTGAAATATTTATCAAGTTTTACAGTTTGATTTTTACTTGAAAATTGCATTGCGTCAAGCTCTCCTTAATTTTGATCTAAAACACTTTTTCCTTAAAAAAATCAATATATTGTTTTAAAAATATTCGCTAGAGTATGTGCCAGTGTGGTCGAGTTGATAAGACGCTGAGCCTCTGAACAGCTTTTTTATTTTTATATTTTTCGATTATTTTAAAATACAAAATAACTTTGAAGTTTTATAAAGATTATATACAAACATATGTAACGTAACGATATTATACACTTTCACAAAAGAAAAGATTTTAAGAAAACTAAAATTTCAACATTAACAAAATTTTTTTAATGTTGAAATTTTGAAATTTCAACATTAAAAAAATTTTTTTGTTAATGTTGAAATTTCAAAATTTCAACATTAACAAAAAAAAAACATCACCTGGAGAAAAAATTTGTTACGTATGTATGATGATTGAGACACTTATGTTAATAATGTGCTCAGTTAATAAGTCCTAATAAGCTGCAGATTGTCTGAAAAAAAAAGTTTTTTTTTAAATTTATTTAAAATATTAAATAAATAAAAAAGTCCTGCTACTCAAGAAGGTGCTGCTGCGGAGGCAAAAAAAAAAAAAAAAGCCTGTAGCTAGAAAAAAAGTTAAAACGTTCTTTTAATAATGAAAAGCTTTTTTTGCTACATTTATTTTTTTACTATAAATATACTGCAGCTGTTTTTCAAAACGCCTTAATATGCTTATTACGTATTTCGAGAAAAACGCAATTAAAAAAAAATTATTTAAAATTAACTCTTTGTTAAATGTTTTTAGAAACGAATAGCTTTAATAATTTTTTTTAGAACTCTTTGAAAATATGTATTCAATAACGTTTGTAGACACATAAACTAGCTTATATTGTAAAAAAGTCAAAAATGATATTTTTAACCTTTAAGGCATTTTGAAAAACGGCTGCAGTATAGATGATACAACAAATATGTTAAAATGAGATAATTTGACGCAAAATTTAAAAGCTTTTAATAAAGGCCACTAAACCAAAAAAATTAAAAATAGTTGCTTAAAAATTTTATTATAGTGAAAATTTTTGTTTTAGTGAATATAGTAATTGTAGTTCAAAATTTTATTACAGCACTTTAAAATTTTATTATAGTGCATTGGTTTTTGCAAAGAAACGCTATATAAATCATTTTTTAATTTTAATATAATCTAATTTTTTTTAAAATTTTGTTGCGCTTAACAATCTGTATATAATCTGTATATAAACAATTTATATATAAACATATATGCTATTTGTTTATATATATTTATATAACCTTTTATTCAGGATTGTATGTAATATAAGTAAACTTTTCTAACAATTACAAGTCTTTTTTGCTCAAGCTGTTTTGTTTTGAGTTTTTGTAGTTATGTTATTATATTTAAAAAAATTGACAAAAACACGAAACATATTGTCACTTCCGAGTTAAAAATTTGAAACTTCAACTTTAGATTTGCTCCTCTCTTGATAATTTCTGATTTCTAAAGTTATGTCATCTGCTTCTTAGACCTTTAAAAATGATATTATATTAATTTCAATTTTTTATAAAAACTATCTATTAAAGATATATAGAGTACATTTTTATGGGATATATTCTAGTAAAGACAAAAGGGCCCATCCATAAAGGACGTCATTCAAATATAGAGGGGGGGGGTTAAGATAAAAAGGACAAAAAAGAGCAAGGAGTTTGTCAGAAAAGGACGTCACTTTATAGATTTTTTATTTTAGTTTAATCAACATGAAAAACTATGTAAATATGTGTTTTTAAGAAGATAATGTATAAGAATATTTTTAATTTTATTTTTCAAAGAAGTAGCAGCAGATTCAAACATCATTGCGAGATGATATAATTTTTGGGGGGTTTAAATAAGGAAGGGGGGCAGGATTACATAACGTCTTTTTCAAGAGGGTATAGGGAAAAAGGACAACCAGTGACAAAGGGGTGTAGGGGGTCAAAAATTGGCTAAAAAATGATGACCTCCTTTATGGATTTATTTATTACTATTGTAATAAATACAATCTTTTATACGTGAAAATAATATATCTGAACCAGTTTTATATACTTTAATGCATTTGTATGCAACATAATAAAAACTAATAATAAAATGTAAGATAAATGCAAAAGGAAACTTGACGCATAAAGGTTTACTTTGCCACAAATTGATGTCAATGCCCAAAATCATTTTGACCTAACTTTTAGATAAGCGTTTAATATTATTCTTTTAGTTCTAAATCATAAGAATTTATTTATTTTTTATGACTTTAGTTTAGTGCTCTTAGATCTTCTTAATTTCATTTGTATAGCGTTACGTACACATTTATGTAAGTGTAAACATCTTTATGTTGAGTTTGCAGGCATTTTATAGAATAATTGTGTACATCTATTTATCTATAAAATGAGAAAACTTGAAAATTTTATTTTAAATTTTAAAAATCTTTTTTTCTATATTCTTATTTTTTTGCTATGAATTTATAAGCAAGATTGAAAAAATTTCAAAATTCGTTACGCTAAGAAGAGGTTTTAAACCCTTCAAAACAACACTGATGACAGTGCATTTAACCACTGCGCTATCAATGAAATGCATTTAGCAGAAAAACAAACCTAATTATAAGCCTCTTATAAAATTTTTATGCTTGAATTTTTTTTTCAGAACAAATTATTTTACTAAAAAATATTGAATTAGATAAGGAATAAGTATAGTAATTTTTGGCTAGAAATAAATATATAAATTGGTAAAGACCTGAATTTTACGGATCAGGAAAGCTAGAATTTATAAGGAAAAAGTATAGAAAAATTTGGTTTGTATTAGATATACAAGGACCCGTATTTTTACGGGGCCAATCTCAGCTAGTAAATACAATTATCCAAATGACACTAAATAATAATATTAAAAGTAATATGCTTTATATAAAAATAAATGATACATATGAAGTATGTTTTCAAACAAATATTTAATATAGGTTTTATCTGTTGCTCTCCGAGGTTTATCAGCACCATTATTATATATTTTTTTTATGGCTGTTATTCTAAAGTTGAGAGATTTACAAAATTTTTCAATAATAAAGTTTTAAATTAATGTTTTTACATTAAATTTATTTTTGAAAGAAAAGCACAGTAATAAGCTTATTTTAAAAAAAGCTTAAAATATATATTTTTTTAAATGTATTATAAGATGTGATACCTAATACCTACTATTTAATAAAAACATGAAACAAAGCCTGTTATAATTATTTTTACTAATTGAACATAAGAAAAAAAATATATGCTCAAAGTTTACATTGTTTTCTTGCATCTCCAGTTATTATTTCAAGTTGAAGTAATTTTTGTTTTTGTTTTTTTTCTTGATTAGTTTTCATATAATTACAAAAAAGAAATCTAAACCTATTTATTTTCAAGCGAGTTCAAGAAAAAAATATTTTTACCATTGCAACGCAGAAGAAATGCGCCTAAATAAGTCCTTGGCTTCTTAAACTCTCTCTAATTTAATAAAAACTGTTTGACTGACAATGTTTAAATTATTTTGTATAAAACGCAATACCCATTGCATGATTAAAGTTGCATAATTGCATTGCATAATCACAAAATTTTTTTAGTGTAAAAGTTCTGATCCCTATCCAATGCTTAAATAGTTCAGTTAATAAAACAAAACATAAAGAAAAAAAGTCATGTAAAACAAAAAAACATAGTTGAAAAAAACATAAATGAAAACAAAATAGAATGTACAAATAATAAAACAAAAAAAGTTATTTTGTTATATATATATGTATGTATATATATATATATATATATATATATATATATATATATATATATATATATATATATATATATATATATATATATATATATATATATATATATATATATATATATATATATATATATATATATATATATATATATATATATATATACATATATATATATATATGTATGTATATGTATATCCTGCTACTGGTAACATGTAACCCAGTACAATCTGCTTCATTTCCTGCTGCCTTCTAGGATATGTTTTTTTAGGCAAAGGATAGGAGAAGCCAACTCCGACTTAAAACACCTCCTGCCTTTGGGCTCTTAGTTGAGTAACGGCTAGAGATGTCTCGATAAAAATACTCTTCTTGTGCAGTTGTTAAATGCATCCAAGTACTGTCTTGTAGAAAGCCTCCTAGGCAAAGACTTAAGGGGTAAACAGATTCTATCTGTTGACCAGCCTAGCACCCCTTCTTCATCTATTAGGCTGGCGCAGATGTACTTTTAATAGATTGTTTGCAGTTTAGAATATTGAATGGTGGATCTTCTTGACTCAATGCATGAGTTTTGCTTGTGTCTCTCTTTTTATGAATAGACAACTGATTTTATTATCTCTTAATGGAGGACACAGCTCTAAAACTCAGTTTTATGGTTCTGAGGCCTGCTGGTAGTGAGGTTTCTCGAACTCTGTGGTACCTCTCAGACGGGTTGATTCCATCAACAGCTGAAAAATATCAAAGTATTAACAGTGCCATGATGCGCATGGATGGTGTCTCTGTTTGTATTTTTTATGTGCATTGTCAAGGCTACGTTTGGAGCCCTTTGTTACAGGTTTATT